AACTATCTTATTGCTAACGTCACCTTCTTTGATAACTTTTTGGTAAATAAACATGTTTGTTGTCTTTATTTTTTGTGTATTCATTGTATTGTGTTGAACAAAATGGTTATGCGGCCCGCGCTCGTCATTCTCTCAGTTATCTAGCCCGCTGTGAAAAAAGTTTGGTGACCCCTGTGCTAGAAAATTTTACGTCTAATCCATTAAACTTTTCCAGGTGTTCTAGGCCTATTTGATGTTAAGGTCTCCGTTATGGCTAGCTATTAACTTACAATATTAAATACAACTTGGTGTTGAATTTGTGCCAGTTTTTGTCAAAAAATAACAACTCATAGAATTGGAAAATAACTGAATAATCTTTCTAAAGGAAGCGAATTTTCTAGGCATTTAAAATCTAGTGATTGAAACTTTACTTCAAACACAATTATTTTAATAAAATTTCGTGACTCTATAATCAGAAGAAACGTTAAGTCCCTAGCTTGAAATCATTATTCTTCTGCGTAACATTTTAACAGACTGAAACTAAAAGACAAAATTTCTTAAATAAAGGAATTCGATCTTACAATGATTAATGCAGTCTAGTGAGATGTTTATCTTTATTATTAGGCCTAATGGTTTCACTGCTTCGCCAACTCTTGGCATTTAAAACTGTAACTTAAATTTAAGTACCTTGAGGTCCAGGAAATCCATTTTTGGGCCATCCATAGGGATGATTGTCAGAATCAAGAATGGTATACTCTTGCTCGATACCAAACCAAGGATGCTGATCCTTTGCCCTTTCCATGGCCTCTACACAGGCTTTTCTCTTGTTGGACTCGGTAGGTTTGTGATTGTACTTGTAGGTCTCACACAGCACGAGCTTGTTATTGCCACCTCGAAATGGGTCCCTGTAGATGGCCACTGGATGAAGGTAAATGTCCGAATTAGATCCCTCAGCTTGATAGGTACTGGATCCGTCATAGTTCCAGATGGGTAGTTCTGTGGATCATCAATTGACATTGAAGTAATTTTACATGTTAAGTTAGTTCAACGAGAGCAGAAGGGATTCAAATTATATACAAAAATTTCATGATGAAAATGTGACTAAAAAATCTCTTCATGCTTGTTAGTTTCATGCAAGGTTCATGAAAACACCCAAAATTCTATCTTACCAACAGTAATGCTAGTGAGAGCTGAGAGCCAAAAGGAAAGGTCATTGTCATGTTAAATAATTAGCTCTTGCGTTTCGTGTACTTTTAATGTTTATAAGACGTTCTTGAAAAATTATCAAATAGACTCACAGAAAGTTTTGCGATTAAAAAAATCGAAAAAGTTTATTTGTTTCAAAATTTCGCACAAATCTACGTAAGAGCTAGCTGCGCATAGTTTGTTCATTTTTGTTGTATTTCGCGCAGAATCACACGATGGCAATCTGCTTACAGTATTTCATTATACACGGCTCAATTAAATTTTACTTTGAGAATCACTTGACAGCTACAGGAATTGAGATTTGAAGACCTGCTCAGCCGCGAAAACATAAAACGAAGTAACATTACTTTTGGAGTAGGTTCAAAACTACTCAGGTGCTTTTCTTATTTCATTTCAGGCTCGTACGCAGAATGTTTGAAAGGGGGTTCTAATTTGCGAGATCAAAAGTCAACACAATGTGCGAAGCGTGTTAGTACTACGGGGTCTGGGGGCATGCCCCCCCCCCAGAAAATTATTTAAAAATAGGTACGATGAGATTAAATCTGGAAGCAGTTTTGCATGAAATATAGCTTAAACAATTGCATGGCTGTTCACATTAAATCCACAAACTTCCAAAGAAAAGTCAACAAATCATCATTCTGTTCCAACACTGCATGGGGGAGCAAGACATAAATTAACATAAATATACATATATTATTATAGTAAAGTACTGTACTATTTACATGTAGAGTAGTTATTAATTGTTAAATTATATTACTAATTTAAACAACTCTGTACAACAATAGTATATTAGCTATTTCTATCATTGGATATGATATACGTACGCAATTATAAAGATACACAGAAATAAACACAGACAGTTATAAGGATATACTGTTATAGACACACAGCATACAAAAACAATGTTTAAATCCACAACAACGGAACACTTGAAGAGAAAAACATACACAAACTGACGTTGTACTGAAAAGGGCATATGAAAGTGTCAAACTTTGGTGTTGTTCCACTATCGTGGATTAAAACTTCATTTTAGACTACCTTACACGGTACTGTACATTTCACTGCTATAAAACCCTAATCTTTTTGTCTTTCTTTTTAAGTTTTCCTTGTCCGAGGCTACTGATAAGGGATGTACTTCCCCGAAACCGAGGTGAATCAAATGGTATATTGGATGTGATACATATTGCTCCATACATACATGTGATACATATTGCTCCCTCTGGAAAATGAGAAACATAATTCTTTTTTTTTATTCATTCAGCATATGTATATGATTTTTTTTATTCAATTCACAATTTCACGCTACTTTGCCTCCCCCCCCCCGGAAAACTTTGCCCCTCCCTGGAAAAATGTCTGCGCATGCCCATGTGTATAGTTGAACTAGACTAAGTGTAAAATTTCTATAAATGACGCACTTTTAAGCCTTCCCTATTAGTTGAATAATTGTACACTTCGAAGTTTGAAACCCTGAAAAGAGAAAATTAGAAGCCTTTACGTGTAGTAAAGGAGGGGGGAGAATTTATCAACTGCCCCTTTGGTTCACGTCTTGGAAAAGGTCGAAGAGAAAGGTCAAATAACTGTCGTTTCGTCAAGAACATATTTACATTAGTCTTTTATCTGCTACTCGTAAATCTCCGAGTTTTTCCGTATTTTGATGCCAAAACTGTCCTTGAACTGTATACGTCTTTTCCCACACCAAACATCGACTTAACGTTTTTGTGATGTCACTGTTGCCAGGGTTTGACCCAGTTTAGTGTATCGATTACATTAGCTGTCTGTTATTTTCATTTCCAATACATATTTTTATGAACGTCCCCATTTTTCTGGTCCGTTTTCAGCCAAAAGAGCTAATTGTGTATTTAAGATGTAAACGTAATTACACCCCTAACACTATAGTAAAAAAAAAAAAAAAATTACGTAAGAAAACTAAACCAAAAAAGTAAGTTTATTAACTAACGTTATAGAAAAAGTAAGAATACGGTAACTACAACCTAAAACTAAGTTAATCCTACATTACGTATCAAACTTAGCAAATTTTGTACGTGATTGTTATACTTAGAAATGGTCGTTACCCAAGTTGGAGAATTGGTATGTTTTCTTGTCTTTAACACCTGCCAATTCTGTATCTCATGTTGCAATTACATATCTACGACTTTCGTACATATCCCCTACCCCGAAGGCTTATATAGCTAAAATAGAGTTTCGATACCCGCAGTGGGCAGTGCACACAGATAGCCAATTATGTAGCTTTGCCCATCTTAATAACGTTGGTATTGTTACTAAACATTTCTACATACAAATTAAATCAGCTTTCAGGAATTTATGAAATACTTGGTTATGCTGAGTGGATACTAAACACAATATTTAGTTCGTGTTCATTGTAAATTCCAACGTTTCGAAGGGATCCATTTTATGTACTTTATTAGCGGCCACGTTTCGAAGGTATCCATTTTATGTACTGTATTACCTTTATTATGCGCTAAATCTATTATTTTAATTCTTTCGCACCTATAACCTTCTGGAAGACTAAACTTATGATCACAGGCGGCGAAACCGGAGTGGCAATGGAAGCACGTGCCTCACCCCACCCCTCCCCCATCAATTCTGACCCAGTATGAAATGCTCCTTTGAATGGGAGAATATACACTTGTGTTTAACTGTCATGGAAATTCGTATTTCCGTTTTGAATCAATTTGCCACGGTTAACATGGCAAATATAGTGCCCCCCCCCCTAATCAACAGTGCCTCTCTCTCCAGTTTCAGATATGTTCCGCCATCTGTACTTATCTTCTTCATCTTTTTGTTTGTTTTTTTTTTGAAATTCTACGACTTACCATCAGGATGTTTGGGTATAAAGTTGACAGTTTTAGTCTTAGCTCGGAGAGCTTCTCCAGTTCCATCAATCCATATGTACATACACTGCACTTTTGTTTCTGGCTGTGGCAAACTCAGGTATTTCATCAATGTCTGCTTATTGCTGCTGGTTGGCTGGCTTAAATTAAACACCATCTTGACAACTATGTTTGAGAGAAGAAAAAAAAGACAGCCAGCCGTTGAAATAACCAATGGAATTTTCTGATACATTCGAATGTTTCTTGTGGCAAAACTAAAGCACTTCTTAGTTAAACTTACACTTGGTATTTTTCCAAAGGTCTAAATTTAAAAATTTGTTCAATAGACATAGATGTAAGAAAACATAAAATGGTAATTAATCAATAAAGTTTATAGATAATTCTAGCTATAGTTGTATTTGGTAATAACTGTCGAACTTTTAAAAATGGCGAAACAGCATTTTGAAAACAAGTTTGAAAGATTTCGTTATTATTTTTGATTTAACAAAACCTGAAATGTCACTGATTTTAATTAAGTTGTATTTACAATTTACTTGATAATACAATATCAGTCATACTGCACACGTGAGAAACTGTCTGGGTCTGGACACATTCTAAATATAAATATTAAAGGTAAACTCAGAGAATGACGAATTTTGTTCATTCCACAAAAACGAAAGTTGTAATCATTCATTACTTTGAAACATTTAATCTCTGTTTCAGAATGATTTTTTCGCTGTTTTTTTGTTGTTGTTGTTGTTAGTTTGTTGTTGTCTTTGAGGGGAGAGCAATTTCTAATTTCCTGTAAGTAATTTAATTCTTACACAATAACTGATCCCCAAAATAATTTTGAAGCACTTCTGATTATCAAACTTATAATAATCGTGACTGTCTAATTTTGGTGGATGTGTTCTCAGGCAAACCGATTCTCAGGTTTATGTAAAGAACAATACTTGTTAATCTTAATAACCCTAAACAAACACGCCAGTCGGTGCTTCAAAATAAAAGCAAACAGTGGCTCTACGTTTAACGAAAATTATCAGACTTACCTTTCCAAGAAAACTGAGAACAAATACAGGAGGGTGAGAATCGCGGCAAGAAATTTTCGTTTCTTGACTAACACTGCTAAAGATTTTGCAAAATTTACTTTTCCGATGAAATATCCCCACAGAGAGAACCTCAGTCGATTTATGGCTAGGCTTGAGTTATTCGCCAATCTCCGCTTCCCGCCGTTTTTGATATAACACGAGCAGAGGCGTGTCTATCACATGATAAGCTGATCCCATGTTTTAGGCCTCAATAAACTTTTAACATTGGAAATATAAGTTCGTGTTTCAGCTTTAATAAAAACATTGACGGGAGGGTTGGATGTTGAAATTAGATTTTAATACTGATTACGTCTGATCTTTTAAGATCAAAGTATAGACGATACATGGGCCAAAACAGCACGTGATTTAAGATCGTTCTGATATTTTAGATCAGAGTTTCCCAGACTCTTAATCTGAGGCTTCCTTGATGTCAATAAAAATGTTTGAGACTTCCCAACCTATAACTTTACCATGGTGATTGAAAAACAGTGTCGTAGTAAAAACAATAACATATTTCGACGTATCGTATCATTTAATTAAGTCAACATAATATTTATCAGCTTGTTGTTTATGTATAGCTAAAATTAATTCAGCATCTTTGTTTTCGGCCCATTTTTTTGGCGGCCCCCACTTTGGGAAACTGTTTGAAATAGACGAAAACATATACGTAAAGATTTTCAGTTATTAAAGTTTTTAAAGTTAAAACTTATAACTTACTGGCGAACGAGTACGTTATTAGTTCCTAGGTCCTAAGACTAATTAAACTCACTTAAACAAGCCCAAGGGCCATTTCTCTCTCGCTCTCACGGATTTACAAGAAATCACACACGTGTAATAAAATGTTTTTTTGTTTCTGTTTTTTTGTAATGTGTTTTCTTCAATGTATAGGTCATTTAGATATGGGTTTCGGAAATATATACCATAAAATTGACATATATAACAATTAGTTTTCATTTCCACCACCAGGATTTGCCATACTGACTAGTTATCAGACTATTCACTCGTTTGTAGAGAATTATCATTAACGAAATAGTCCACCGGTGGGACAGCAGTAAGTCTTCGGATTTAAAACGCTAAAATCAGGGGCTCGATTCCCTTCGGTGGACATAGCAGATAGTCCAATGTGGCTTTACTATAAGAAAACATACATACACACTAGTGAAATAATTAATACAAAATAAACGTTGGTTCAAACTAATCATCATTGTTTTAGAGTGAAGTTTGTTCAAATGAATATTTTTTTACATAACAATCTCCAGATTAGATCATTCGGAAAAATAGAGAATATTTGATTGGGAAAAAATTTAAATTAAACTAAAATTATCAAACTTAAGCCCTCGAGAAAAATTAACTGAAGTAACTTCGAAACACTGTAACGAAAGCCCCCAGTGGCTCCGAAATGAGTCTGGTGACTTACAATACTAAAAATCGGGTTTCGATGCTCATGGTGGGCAGACCCCAAATAGCCCATTGTGTAGCTTTGCGCTTAACAACAACCAACCCTGTAATAAAAATAGTTTTTTCTACTAAAAAACCCAAAAGAAAACGTACGTAAAACTGGTTGATTATAATTAATTACTAAAAACAACCAAACCTGTAATAAAAATAGTTTTTTCTACTAAAAAACAAAAGAGAACGTAAGTAAAACTGGTTGATTATAATTAATTACTAACAACAACCAAACCTGTAATAAAAATAACTTTTTTCTACTAAAAAAACCCAAAAGAAAACGTAAGTAAAACTGGTTGATTATAATTAATTACTAACAACAACCAAACCTGTGATGAAAATAGCTTTTTCTACTAAAAAAAAACAAAAGAAAACGAAAATAAAACTGGTTGATTATAATTAATTACTAACAACAACCAAACCTGTGATGAAAATAGCTTTTTCTACTAAAAAAAAACAAAAGAAAACGAAAATAAAACTGGTTGATTATAATTAATTACTAACAACAACCAAACCTGTAATAAAAATAGCTTTTTCTACTAAAAAAAACCCAAAAGAAAACGTAAGTAAAACTGGTTGATTATAATTAATTACTTGCATCGGCATAGCTTACACATGAGGTATGTTCCTATTATATTTTAACAGAAGGATAATTGGGTCATAAGGTTGATTTTACGGAACTATAACAACCATACTTTTGAAACCAAATTTATGTCCCTGACTACTTGGATTGATATAAAAATTCAAATTATTTTATTATTATTACACTGTATTTCAGTTGTTTCTTCATAAACATGTTTATCTATTTTATGTTTATAAGTTGCTAAGCCTGAAACATTATTGATCATTTAATTCGTTCTATTTTCATTTGATGTTGTTCCAGTTCTTAAATGATTGTGTTTGTTTGTTTGTTTTGTTTTTAGCACCAAGCCACACAATGAGTTTTCTGTGTTCTGCCCACAGCGGATGATTGAAACCCGATTTTTAACACGATATAAACTACCAGACTTATAAGTGAGTCACCGGGGGAGTTGGGGGTGACAGTTCTTAGAGAATGTCTTCCACTGTAGCTCAGGAGCCGTTTTAGTTCTATTGCGAACTTATTGTCACTTGAGGTTTTCAAATATTTATTTCATTCCAAGCATGTTTATAATGTGCATAATGCTTTTTTGCTTCACATACATATATATATACATATCAAAGCAGTATGAAAAATATTTCAAACTTTGTATCATTTCAAGTCGTGACCTAAGCCTAACGTATTTAATTTCACATCGCAAACTGTGTCATAAAAAAAAACACAAAAAAACAACTCAACCTTTTATGAGCAAGAGAAGCAAAGTCCAAAAATCGTCTTGCTTGTTGTTTGGCCTATCTGAAAACCAAAAGATGCGTTTGAAACATATAACTACAAGATATGCTATTTTATTAAATATCTCGAATGAGCATTTCGTCCACCAGGTGTTCTTAAAACGCAAGAAAAATCACCTTTAAACTCGAAAGGGCAATGTGAGCTGTTTTATTCTCTTCTGGTCAGCTTGTTTGTTTGTTTTTTGAATTTCGCGCAAAGCTACACGAGGGCTATATGCGCTAGCCGTCCCTAATTTAGCAGTGTAAGACTAGAGGGAAGGCAGCTAGTCATCACCACCCACCGCCAACTCTTGGGCTACTCTTTTACCAACGAATAG